TCCAGTGCCCGCCGTGGGTGTGGAAGTGGGGCGTCCAGTGCCCGCCGTGGGTGTGGAAGTGGGGTGTCCAGTGCCCGCCGTGGGTGTGGAAGTGAGGCGTCCAGGGCGGGACTGAGAGAAGTGCCTGTGCCTGGTCTTTGTGAGCCCCTCTTGGCAACTGGCTCATGCCTGCTAGGCTCCCACTAATGCTCTTTCCCTATCTTCCTCACCAGCATGATCTACACATTGGTGAGCTCCTAATTCCAGAGCGAACACCACAGAGATGACGAGGAGGCGGAGGCCAAGGAGTCTGTTCCCGCTGGTGCCCGGAGGAGGGCCAGAGAGGGATGTGGGAGAGGGCCCAGCAGGCTGAGAGGACCAGGACAGCACAGCAGCAGCCTGGGTCCCTGTGCCAGCTGCTGCCCCCATGTGTCAGTCTGCACTCACGTCCCACGTGCAGGTTGTGTGGCCCTGGAAGTAGGTGACAAACACTGAACTCCACGGAGCCACCGGTGCTGCTTTCTGAATCTGCCCTGTTGCTGTGGAGCGCCTGGCTCTGGGAGCAAGTTGGAGGCTGGAAGGTGTCTGCCAAAGACAGGAGCCAGTCGGGGCTGCACCCTCAGGCCATGGACGTGGGGTTCATGGAGGGCCCCTGGGGGCACTCCAGTTCCTCCCCAGCAGCCTGGCTCCCCACAGGGCTGGGATGTGGTGTCTGCGCCCCATCTGCTGGGTCTGGAGGTGACTTTCTGAGGGGCTTTGGGGAAGGGTAGGGGCAGAGCTGTGTCCAGTGTTGGTGGTGATCCGGGGAGAAGAAAAAGGGAACATGGGACTTTTGAAATACTTACACGTTCAGGTGTTTGTTCTTCACCCTTTCGAGGTATATTCTACTGTTACAGTGACAGAGCAGCTGACAAGCTCTAGAGCTGCCTTCGCGCAAAACCTCTGAGCAGTGCGGTGCAGTCACCGCACGACAGCTGCCCCGAGCCCACGAGGGTTCAGCAAAGGGCGGTGAGCTCGTCTTCCTCCTGGGGTTCCTCCTTCTTGGGTGGGTGCGGTGCGCAGGCATGAGCGGTGACAAGGCTGAGACCATTAAGCTGTTTGAGTCAGGCAGTGACATTTACCTTGTCTCTGCTCTTCCTTGTGAGACACGGTCAGGCCCCATGGCTGTTTGCGTGTGTGCTGGCTGCGGTCGACACTGGGTCATGGGATCGCGGGCCATGCCATGCCCCGTGTTCATGCCAGGTGTCCCTGCCAGCTGCTCATTTCAGCCCCGCTTGGGTGGGACTTGCTCTATATGGCAAGAAGCAGGTGGTGGGAAAAACAAAGTTTCCAAAAGGTTCTGTGCTTCTAAAAATTCTGTGGAAAACAAAATGCAGGCTTCTGGGGGACCAGCTGAGGGCAATGCAGAGACGGGCCATGGTGTCTAGGGGAGACTCTGGTGGCCTTGGTCCTGGGGTCCTGGCAGGTGGCTCCGCTGGGTCACAGAGTGACCTCTAGGGCTGTCTCGCCCTGCTAGGCTCCAGTCCCTGGAAGCCAGTCATCTCCGTCCCAGAACAAGCAGCCCTGACCCGGCTCCCTGCGTGTGGCTGAGGCAGGGTGAGGGCCGCCTCCCTCCTGGCCTGAAGCTGCTCTGTCTCCAGACTCTGCCTTCCTTCTTCCTGTTGTGGCCTCTGACAGGCACAAGTACACAGGCCAAGCGGAATGGAAATTCACTTGCAAGCGAAGGGTGGGCTATGACCACCTCCTGAAGGCCTCCTAGTCCTGCCTCAGCTTCCGTTGAGTGCTAACTCTTGAGGGTGAACGTAGAGATTTGCGTTCACACGACACAGCTTCAGGCATGTCCACACCTCTGGGGACCCTCAGGATGCTGTGAGGTCCGAGCTCTCCTTCTCCCCCTGTCATAAGAGGGAAGCCAAGGCTCAGGGTGAGGGCTGAGGGCTTCTCTGTAGCCACACAGCAGTACACCTAACTCTGTAGCCACCCATACACCTAACTTAAAAAAACCCATGTCCTTCGCCTCACTCCAAAAGCCAGCAGAGCAGCTCAGGGTCCTGCTCCAGTGGGACTGGTGGAGCTGTTGTCAAAGAAGAATTTGGGGAAGATCTGGGGGTGCAGGCATCTTGTGGAGGGTCTCTCAGAGGGGCCCCAGGCAGGGCAGCTCTTGTGGGGTAGAAGAGATGTACCCAGAATTTCCCTCCACTGCCATGACCAGAGGGAGCTCTGGGAGCCTGGTGGGAGTGGGTGAACTTTCTGTCTCAGGGAGAGGTCAGTCAGGAATAGACAAGGTTACAGAGGTGAAGGTCATGGGAAGGTGACTCCACGCTGTTAGAGGTCAGATGTGTGGAGCTCGTGTCAACCAGTTAGACTGTGAAAGGTTTATTGAGGGAAGGACAGGAGGAGGCCTGAAAGAGGGTCTCCACCTTGGTGCTGTGGGGCTTTATATGAGAAAATGACCATGTCTTGGGCCGTGCTAGGCCACGCTGAGGCCAACCTGTGGGGTTGCAAGTGTAGCCGTGTAGCTAACACTGACCTGATAGGACAGCAGCGTGGGAGTGCCCCTCACCTATAACTCCTGACACAGAGTGGGGGAGGGGGCCAGGCAGGTGTCCCGGCTTCCTCGGTGCATCTGACGCCAGGCTTGCCAGAAGGCTACGCTGTCTCAAGCACTGTCTGTCCCGGGGGTGCTGTGCGCCTGCTTCTCCTTTTCTGCAGTTAACGTCTCCTTTTCTGCGCTGACTCCATGGGCCCAGTCCCTTTCCGGTGGCCTCTCAATTTCCATCTTAGCTACCAACAGTAAGTACTTGGGAGCCATGGAGGATTTGGACCCCACAGCACAGGGAGAGGGATGGGATGGGACAGAGGACACGGAGTGATGCTGGGAGAGTGAGTGACTGTCCCTGGAGAGGGCATTGCTGGCTGTGGGAGTCTCACAGCAGGCACCTGGGGGTGTGTGGTCCAAAGGCTTGGGCTATGAGCCTTGCATCTGGGGAGATGCCAACTGCACGCCAGGCGTGCCAGCCTGTGCCAGCTGGAGGACGGTGGGACGCAGCCAGCAGGAAGCTTCCCACTGCAGTGGAGCAGCGTGCCTTCCTCCTACCTCTCCCTTCATCTTGGGCTGGATGGTCCCAGCCACACCACAAGGAGGGTGACAGAGCTCAGCTCCCCAGGGAAAATCTCCCCTTTTGTCCTATTTTTAGTCTGGTAATTGCACCGATGTTGAATAAAGTAGTCACGCTTGTGACAGTTTCGTTCTCCTACAAGGAGATGAATGTAGCTGCACAGTGCTTTGACAACAATTAACGGCACTCACCCTGGATCCTCACAGACCTGCTTCCTAACCCTTTCTTCTGTGGACTCTATGGAACCTCCTGACCCAAACTGGACCTCCTGGGGCTGCTGGGTCACTGTGAGCAAAGGGGAGGGACATGCCCAGGGCCCCTGGGGCTGCTGGGTCACTGTGAGCAAAGGGGAGGGACATGCCCAGGGCCCCTGGGCTCTGCTGGTCCCAGGCACAGAGACAGGGTTGAATGGGGGTCCTGGGAGCATGGGCAGCTGGGCATTGAGGGCAGGTGGGTGTGTGTCCACCCTGTCCTTGTCAGGGGTGGGTGAAGGGGATGACCCCAGGGCATGCCTGGGGCTGGGTTTCACTGCTGAGTAGAGGTGGAGTCAGAACTGCCCAACAGATGCATCTCCTGGCAGCGCCCACCCACCCCAGTTGTTCCTTCTCCTCCCAGCTCTGCCTGGCATTGGGGCCCTGAGTGTCCACTTGTGCTGGAAGGAGGCTACTGTGAGCGGGAACAGGATCCAGAGTCAAGGATTTTATTAAACAGTGGTGACACACAGCTGTGAAAGCCATTATGTAAGTATAAATACATTGGAAAACAAAGTCAGAACTCATCACCGCCTGGTCACTGAGGTACATTTAAGGTCCCAAACTTCTTAAGTCACTCAGTTTGTGGACAGGGGAACACTAGGCCCTGAGGCAGTTGGGTTGTGCCCGTCCACACCTGGTGTTCAGTGATGCCCCACTGGCGGGGCAGGGCGAGCGTGTGTGTGCCTGAGCCTCAGGGGGTGCTCCCTCTGGGAATGGCAGGCGCTTCCTCTGCTGTGACATACTTGCGTGTGTGGCCCGGCCTGCCACTGTGGGTTTGGGCCTGATGCAGCCCCTCACGTTGGGAGCAGAGGTGCTCACTGCACCACTAAAGCAAGAGAGAGAAACAGACAGGTCTCTAAGCCCCCAAGGGCACCCCCGTACCTCAGCACCCCCATCCTGAAGTCACCACCTCCCAGCAGCCCAGGACCGGGCTGTCACCACTGGGGCTGTGGGGACACAGACACCTGGATTTCAGCAGGTAGTCATGGCCTGTAGGGCTGGGAGACTGTCTCTGCTGACCACAGGAAAGCTCTTGGCTTAGACCTAGGGCCTGTCCTTGGGCCAGCGCCTCACCCTAGACAGGCTTGTCCCAGAGGCTCCACGTCCTCAAGCAGCATGTAGGCCTCAGCCGAATCCCGCAGGGAATAAGATACCACTCTGCTCTATTGCCTGCCTCCTGGACGTCCTCATGTGAGGAAGCCTGTGCCTGTGAGGGATGGCCCCACGTGGGACACCGTTCCCACATGTGACTCCCTTTCCCTGTGTGTGAGGTCCTTGTCCCCATGTATGTGTCACCCCTGTCCCCATGTGTGTGAGCCCCTGTCCCCGTGTATGAGGGCTCATCTCTGTGTCTGAGAGGCACCTGTCCTGAGCCTGGCACAGGACACAAGCTCTACAACAGCGCCTTCTCCCTCTAGCTCCAAGTTGTGCCCAATCCCCACCTGCCTATGGCTTCCTAGTCCCTGAGCCATGTTCCCTGCAGCAGATCTAGCTTCCCACTGGACTTCAGGGACCTCAGACACTGGCCTTTTGGTTCTGAGATGCAGTAGTCCCAGGAGATGGTCTTGTCCTGCCAGCCAACAAAGAGACATAAATGCCACCACAATGCTGCTGTTCAGATGCATCCCAGGCTGAGCTGGAAACCCTGTCCTTTTCAGAAATGCTCCACATACCAGAAAAATATCTTCGCCTTTCAGGCTGGAATGTGTCTGATGTCTCGCATAGGGGAAGGAGAGGAAACAAGCTGCCTGTGAAATGCCAGTCCTGTCTTCAAACTGTGGTGAGGCGTGCCACCTGGCCCTGAATGGGACAGCCTGCCTGAACTGCTGCAGTGACAACAGCCTACAGTCTGGAGCTTTAGGAAGGTTTCCCAGGGGTGTCCCAAAGGCCTGGGAGGGACAGTCACCCTGAGGAGGCCAGTAGCAAAGTGCAGAAGTGAGGCAGAAGAAGGTTGGAGCAGTGGCCGGGTGTGTGAGGGCCTCAGTGGAACTGTGGCCCCTGCGGGGATGTGTGGCAGGCCCGCGGGAGCCGCGGTGGGGTTGCCCCAGCCCTCATCGCCCCAGATGGAGAGTGGAGGCCCCGGGCTCTGGGGGCAGGTGCTAGCACTGTCACTTCCCAGCATTTCCAGAGGTCACGTGCTCTGAGAGGCCAGTTCCTGGACATGTGCTCTGAGGGGAGGGTGAGAGGTCGGAACCTTTCCAGAGCAAGGTGGCTAGAGTCCATGCCACGGGCCAGGCTGAAGGTGTTTCAAGGGGTGCAAGGCTTCAAGAGTGGAGGACAGAAATGGTGGGGCCGCCCCTTTGCCCTTCCTGTGGTGTTGGGCTAGCTGCTTCCTGG